AAAATGGGAGGAATCAACCTCCCCAACTTCAAACTCTACTACAAAGCAGTAATAATTGAAACAGCATGGTATTGGAACAAAGGCAGAGCTGCAGACCAATGGAACAGGGTTGAATATACTGACATCTCCCCCCAAACATACGATCATCTAATCTCTGATAAGGGAGCAAGAAATGTGAAGTGGAGCAAGGAAAGCCTCTTTAACAAATTTTGCTGGCAAAACTGGACGATTACATGCACAAAAAAAAAAATGGGTTCAGATCTCTACCAAACACCATGTACAAAAACAAAATCAAAATGGATTAATGACCTCAACATCAGACCGGAATCCATAAGGTACACTGAAGACATGGTTGGCAAAACCCTCCACGACATTGAAGCTAATGGGATCTTCAAAGATGACATACCACTGGACGAGCAAGTGAAAATAGAGATAGACAAATGGGGCTATCTTAAACTAAGAAGCTTCTACACCTCAAAACAGTGACCAAAATACAAAGACAGTCTACAAAATGGGAAAGGATATTCGCCGAATACACATCTGACAAGGGGTTGATATCAAGGATATACAAAATACTGGTTGAACTCCACAAGAAGAAAACATCCAACCCCATCAAAAAATGGGGCTATGAAATGAACAGAAACTTTCTCAAAAGAAGAAATCCGAATGGCAAAAAAGCACATGAGAAAATGCTCTACATCATTAATCATCAGGGAGATGCAGATCAAAACCACAATGAGATACCATCTCACACCACAGAGATTGGCCTACATACAAAGAAACAAAAGCAACAGGTGTTGGGACGGATGACGTAGCGAGAAAGGGACCCTCCTTCACTGCCACTGGGAATGCCGACTGGTTCAGCCCTTTTGGAAAACAATATGGACGATTCTCAAAAAATTAGAAATTGAGCTCCCCTTTGACCCAGCAATACCACTCCTGGGAATATATCCCAGAGAGGCAAAAAAGTGCAGCCGGAATGATATCTGTACTTCTATGTTCATTGCTGCGCTGTTCACAATAACCAAAATTTGGGAAAAAACCCGAGTGCTTGAAAACAGATGACTGGCTAAAGAAACTTTGGTACATCTACACAATGGAATACTACGCAGTTATTAGAAAAGATGAAGTCATGAAATTTATATACAAGTGGTTCTACATGGAAAGTATCATGCCAAGTGAAATGAGCCAGAAAGAGAGGGACATAGAAAGACTGCACTCATCTGGGGAATATAAAGTAACAGAATGGAAGTCGAACACCCAAGAATAGTTGAGAAAAGTACCAGATCTACTCCAGGGCTTGAAAGCCCGCCTCACATGCTAGGGGAAAAGGCAGGTCAGATAGAGAAGGAAACACCAAGTAAAGGATGTTTGGAGGACTCCCTCAGGATGCGAGATGCATGCTGAATGTAGACAACAGATGAACACCATAGCCACTCAATACCTCTTTTGCAAATTACAACACCCTAAAGGAAAGAGTGAGCAAAAGGGAATGCCCTGCCAGAGGGGGGGATGGGGTGTGTGTTTGGGGGTGGGGGAGCGTGGGGGAGGGGGGTTGGGAAGGCTACTAGGATCATTGGTGGTGAATGGGCATTTGGTGGAAGGATGGGTATTCAATCATTGTATAACTGAAACCCAAGCACAAAGTTGGTAAGTCTACAACTGTACCTGTTTTGCTAAAAAAAAAGTATATATATATACACATATATAAGTATATTTATATAAGTGTATATATATAACATATATAAAAATACATATATATACACACACACATACAGTCAAATTCCTTGGAGATGTGATCTTACCACAGCTAAAACATGGCATCTGAGAAATCATTTCTCATAGTCCAATATTGGCTCATTACACAAAACTTATTTCATAATAAAAATATTTTCATGAGAAAAAAAATATTGGTGCAGAGAAACTGAGTTTCAAGAACCACAAATTAACACCTTTTGGAGACTTCCATGGCCTATTCTGGCTTCAACAATTCGAACAAGATGTACATTTTAAAAAGTTTCTGTACTGTGTGGGCTCCCTTTCAAACAATATGGTCAGTATTTTACCAGCTGTTCGGTAAACAAGTTATGCTAAGCATGAATACCATCAAAATTATGTGTGCTGTGTCACACTTTCAGTAACCAAACTTAATGTTATACTATACAGAATAACCAAACTCCATTAAAGGTATGTGCTGTCACACTTTCAGTAACCAAACTTAATGTTACAATATCATATTATACAGAACAAAATCCACTAACTTACCATACTTAAGGCATAGCATTAAAAACTGTGTTTCATATCACAATGCACAAATACAGAGTAAACATCACTTAACTGGTAAGTGGGAATTATGCTCCCCCACCAAAAAAAAAAAAAATCTTAGCATGATCACAAAAGTTAAAATTACAAAAAAATCGAGGAGGTAGGTGGGATTGGTAGGGACAGTGTTTGTGCCACATCTGACAGTGCTCAGGGCTCTGCGATCAAAGATCACTAACGGGACTGAGGAAATCATTACGTGGTGCCAAGGATCAAATGAGATAGGCCACATTCAAGGCAAATGTCTTACTGCTGTACTATATATGCTCTGGCCCTAAAAATCCATTTTTATAAACTACTGTGCTTCAAGCGGTGTCTGCCTTTGGAGCTGAGTTTTCATCGGAGGCATGCCGAGAATTAGGCTACTCCAGCAACTGACTCTGTAGCTCCTGTGATCTTCTTGGACAATTCAACCTGCGTCAGTTGGATCCTGACTGTAGAAGCTGCTGTCAAGAAACCCAAATTGAAAGTAAAAAGGTATTGTTTTCTGGCATGTCTTCATGTCCAGCAGTTGTTCATTGATGATTTACTTGAAATGCAGTGAAGTATTACATTGCTTAATGGGGCCTGAGAGGTAATTCTGGATCAAGTGCATGCTTTGCCTGCAGGAGGCCCTGGTTCAATCCCGGCACCTGTTGGTCCCCTTTGCAGCTGCGCAGCACAGAGCAGAATGGAGCCCTACAATGTTAACAGATAAGACCCCCAAACAAGAAAAACAAAATATAATAATCAACTGTAAAGAAGCCTCTAGTTTTTCAAGAACTCAACTTGCCTAGCAGTACAGCAATTATTATTATTATTATTATTATTATTTTGCTTTTTGGGTCACACCTAGCAATGCTCAGGGGTTACTCCTGGCTCTGCACTCAAGAATTCCTTCTGGCGGTGCTCAGGGGATCATATGGGATGCCGGAGATCGAACCCAGGTCGGCCATGTGCAAGGCAAACGCCCTACCCCCTACAGTACAAGAATTAAAGCAAAAAGGAAAGAAGGAAAAGAACTCAAGCTGCATACCCGCAACCATGACTACGATAACTGTATAGCAGAGGAGTTGGAGTCACCATAGGGTGGTTTTAATTTTCTTCAGTATTAATAACCAATGCACAGCAGAGCCTGGCAAGCTACCTGTGGTGTATTCGATATGCCAAAAACAGTAACAATAATGGGTCTCATTCCCCTGACCCTGAAAGAGCCTCCAATACGGCAGAGTTGGTAAAGACGAGTAAGGAGAAGCTGCTAAACTCTCAGAGCTGGAACGAATGGAGACATTACTGGTGCCCGCTTGAGTAAATCAATGAATAACGAGGTGACAGTGATACATTTTAAAAACTTTAAAATACAGAGAGGTGATTTAGTCAAAAAATATTTTAGGTTCTTTGCTGGGTAAAACAAAATCTAACTCAAAGTGACTGAACTGAGGCATATAACAAAATGCCTTCTATAAATATATAAAGAAGCTGGAGATACAGTATAAGAAGGGCATTTGCCTTGCCGATCCTCGTTCGATTCCTAGCATTCCATATGCTCCCTGAGCCCACCAGAAGTGATCCCTGAGCGCAGAGCAAAGAGTAAGTCCTGAGCACCACCAGTTGAGGCCACCCAAAACAAAGTAAGAAGCCAGAGAGGTAAGTACAGCGAGTAAAGCTGCTTGCCTTGCATGTGGCTGACTGGGATTCAATCCCAGTCATTCCATACAGTTCCCCGAGCACTGCTAGGAGTGACTAGAAAATTGGTAGGAGGAGTGCAGTCAAGAATAAGCCCAGAGAATAGCTGGGTGTGGCCCAAAAACTCAAAAACTGGGAGGGGAAAAAATACCCCAAAAATCAAGTAAAATTTAACACTCTACAATTACTTTTGAGGAGAAACTTATGTTGTTGTTTAATCTATTACCACAAGCCTAAATGTAAAACCCCAAAAGTGGCTTCTGGTGAAAGCAGGTAAATTTGGTAGGAAACTGAAAACAGCAAAAAATATTAGCAGCCTTCTAGGAAGATAAAATTAAATATAATGAAAGGCAAGAAAAAATGAGCATTAGCTAACTATATAAAATCCACAGCATTTTTGTTCTAACATTACGTTCTTTACAATTATAGTATATTTACATGTGGGGTGGGGATGGGAGCAGCAAATGAATTAAAACCAGAATTATCAAAAGACAAATATAAAGAGGCAGGCTACTCTTCCAGTCAGCAGTAAAACAGAAATTATTTAAAAATTAATGTGCAAATGAAAAGGTCAACATTCATTTAATGAACTTAAGCATTCAATGAGTATTTTCCAAAGCTTTGTTTTTGTAAAATTAGAAAGTAATCACCATCTTTAATAAAGCATAACTTTGTTTTAATAAGTGAACAAAGCACAGTGTTTAGAAACCAATACCTTGAACACTACAGAGAACAACAACATTCTGAAAATCCAGTTTATTTTTCCATGTTGTGGACAGATCCAGTCAATGTGATCAATTTTTCTGCATGTGTAATAATTTATCAAAATAAGTTTTCCCACAAGATTATTTTCCATCAGCTCAGAAAATCCTGGTCTGACAACATACCCAAATAAAGCTCTTGGAAATCACCTCTTAAAATTTGGAAGTGTGGTCAAGTCTTTCCTGTAACATTTACTGAACTACAAATGGCTAAAGAGCAATTTATGTTTGAAAAGGTGACTAGTACAACAGTTGAATTCAGGAAATTAATTTTAGTGCACTTTGCTCCAGTTTTAGCCAACATGCTACATTGTCCTTTTGGGGGGGAAGTTGGGAGCGCACAAAGTGGACTTGAGGAATTCCATTGTACGAAAAAGATATGACTCTGCAAGCAAACAGTGTAAGCTGCCTTTTTTTTCTTAAGACCTGGACATTTTAAGACAGAAGCTTTGCAAAACATTACACAATTTTTTATTATTAAATGAGAAAAATCTCATTTGTTACATCGTCACATTGCTAGTCAGAGAAATGCTGCAGTGATGAAGAAAGTCAATGTTGGATCAACCAAAGTCCTCATTTCTACAACATTCATTTACAAAGAAATAATGTTCAACACAGCCCAACACAACATTCTTGGTTTTCTTCATATTGAAGTCCCCAAAAAATCATCTTCTAATGGGGTTTTTTACTACATAAATTATAGTTCTTCATTTTTACAATTCACCCCAAATTGTATGAGATGTATCACACTAAAATTTCTAAAGCTGTTAGGAAATCCTTCACACATCATCATCATCGGATGTGTCACTGCTACTTGTTTCTGTGTCATCATTCTCAATAGTGGGTTTGAAAGTGCTGTTTTTCCAGGGTCCAAACTTGAAGTCACAGATCAGGCCATTTTTCAAAATACCATTTTTCCTCAGGCCATTCTTCTGTAACTAAAATGTCAAAGATACAAACATTTAAAAAATCAACTTCCCACCGAGAGTTATTAATATAATAATGATATAACTACACATAACAATGAATGTCATATCAGATGCCAAGGATCGAACCTAGAGGTCAGAGTGCAAGGCAAACATACTACCCACTGTACTATCACTGTGGTCTCAGACAAGTACTTTTAAAAAATATCAATGAAAAGCAAAATGCGGAAACTGGGACTTTGCAAGACAAACTAGGACTAAACACTAGTAGGGTTACTTAAACTAGTTACCATGACATTTCATTAAAAGAGCAGATGCAGGGGCTGGAGCAATAGTACAGTGGAGCTTGCCTCGTACACAGCGGGTCAGGGTTTAACTCCTGACATTCCATAGGTCCCCCAAGACCGCCAGGAGTGATTTATGGGTGCAGAGCCAGGAGTAAACCCTGAGCACTGCAGAGTGTGGCGCCCCAAACAAACAAAAAGTAGGGCAGACAGGGGCTGGAGCAATAGTACTGGGAGCAATAGTACTGGGTGCAACAATGAAAAACCAATAACCTCATCAAAAGGGAGTAAGAAAAGATAAACAGACACTTCCCTGAAAAAGACGTCTAGACAACCCAGCAGGAAAGTGGAAAAGAGTTCATTTTAACTCAGTATCAAGAAAATTAAAATAAAATTGACATATATCAAACAAGCAGAAACAATCAGTGCCAGCAGGGATGTGGTGAAAAGGTCTATATTCATTTACTGCAGGTGTGTATGTTGTTTAATAAGTCTGTACAAAAAAAAAAATGTATGGAAACTTTTTATTTTAAAAAAAAAGTATGGAGTCTTATCAAAAGGTAGATGACCACTGCTTGGCACTAACCCCAAGAACACAAAAATATTAACTCAAAATTTATCCCTGTCTACTCCCCCAAAAGCTTTATGAACTGAACATATGGAGGTTGAAATCAAGCATTTACAGTACGGTTAAAGAAGTAGTACAATGAGTTGAGCATATGGCTTTGTATGCAGGAGGGCAGGTTCAATCCCAGTACCAATGAGATCCCTTGGACACCTGAAGGCGTGATCCCTGGCACATACCATGGAGTAGCAACCCCTACCTCCCCACCATCACTTAAGCACCACAGGGCTTAGCCTCAAACAAAACTTTGCCCATCAGATCCTACTTTCTCAGGCTCTGAATCATGATACCAAAAATGTATGACCATCATGAGTCCAGAAAAATATATATATGAAGGAAAACTGGGAGTATAAAGTATTTTAAAATTAAATAGTAAAGAATAAAAGGTGAGGTAGGTAAGAAGCTAAGAGAAAATCTGAACAATGACAAAGACGAATTTCATTAATTCCTAAACACTATACATCCAAAGATTCATCAAAGTCATGTCTGCCTCTATTAGAAAGTAAATCAGACATAATGGGATGTCTAGCAACTTGTAAATAAAACAAAATTCCCTTCCTCAGAAAGGATTACTAACACTTTAAAGGAAGGGCAATTTAAAATCAATCTGTAGGAGTCAAGTCATACCTGTTCACTAATAACTTGGAATTCTCTCATTTCATCCTCAGTTAAGGGAGCACAGGTTTCATCATTTTCACTGTCTTCTTGCCACCCCATCTCCTTTAACAATCTGGATAAGAGGAAGCAAAATGATGAATTTGATCTCTACCATCACCTAAATATGGTAACTCCATTTACATGGCACATTAAGAGATGTACATTATACAATATCCTAAAATACGCCTCCCAAAAACAATTTTTAAGTATATGTTTTAAAAATCTTCCTAGGAGCAAAGATAAGGAATTGTACTTGCCCATGACCAACCCAGTTCAATCCTAAAACCATACTCCTGAGCACTTCCAGACATAGTCTCCCCCCCACCCCCACTCATACCTCTCCCCCCCAAAATTAAATGGAATTTAAAAATCGTCCTAAACCAAATAAACTTTAGCACAACTGGACTGGGGAGACAGTTCAAGAGCTGGAAAGATCCAATCAAACGCCCAGAACCAACTGATCTTTCACCCACCACCAGGAGGAACCCCTAAGTAAGGCACCAGCAGTAGTGCCTGAACCATGCCAGTTGTGACCAAAAATCAAAGGTGGGGATGGGGAAGAGAGAATATATAAGCAAAGACTTAAAGCAGTCCTTAATAATAGTTATAAAATCTCATCTTGTGTGTAGATAGAAGTAGAAACTATAATCTTTAGAGGAAAAAGCTAAAACATATCCCATCAAATTAGTTTTACAAAGGAGGTAGAAAAATACACCTTAACACCACTCACCAAATTTAAGCTGAAAGAAAATACTTTTTAAGCACTCAGTAATTACAAAGTGCTCCGCACCAATTCAGATACAAGATACAGCAATGAACAACAACTAAAAACTAATACTGGGCCACAGGAGTGGGTAAGGCCTTGCATGTGGTTGACCCAGGTTTAATCTCTAGCACCACAATATAGAGCACAAGTCAGAGAGAAATGATCCCAGAGTACAGAGCCAGAGGTAAGCCCTGAACACAACCAGGTGTGGCCAAAAATAAACACAACACAAACAAAAACAAAAACCTACTATAACCTTACCATTCATTGTGGCCTGGAATCTAAATAACAAAAATTGAAATTATAAATCTGCTAAAAATATGTATAACTAGTCTAGTTTCCACTTCCCATAATTAAATGAAATTCTAGGAAAAGTAGTATTAAACTAAACAGAAGTCAATCCACAGACAAGGATATGGTGAAACTGCAACCTTCATGTATTATTGAGCAGAAAACAAATTGAGTCAGTCATTTTGGAAAATAATTCAGTAGTTTCTCAAAATGTTAATGAAGCATAGGCCTCAATTATTCTAATCCTAGGAATTTGCACAAAAGGAAAATATAGCCATGCAAGAGCCTGCACATTAATGCTCACAGTGGCATGTATTTAAAATACTCAAAATACAAAGAACACAGGCTAGAGAGACAGTTAAGCCAGACTTGCATGCAGGAGAACCCAATTGGCTCCCCAGTACTATACACAGTCCCTTGAACACTACCCAGACTGACCCCGGAGCAGAGTCAGGAGTAAACCCTGAACAGAGCCAGATGTGCCCCAATCCCTCTAAAAAAAAAAGGGGGTGGGGAGGGGGACATACATAAGGTATAAAAAACCTTTTAAGTGGTTGACTTACAATACAGTGAATGATTTGGCAAAAAAAGAAAAGCAAAGTACTGACACATGCAAAGTACTGATGTTAACCTTGGAAACATCATGCTAAGTTCAAGAAGTCAGACAAGAAAGATCAAATAATTTATGCTTTTATTATATATAAAATATCCATAAAAGGCAAGTCTATAAACATATAGAAAGCAGCATAAAGGTTTTCAAAGGATAGGAAATAAAAAATGAGTAACTGCAGAAGTGATCTCTTTTTGGAAATGTCCTAAAGTTATATTGTAATGCCAGTTGCACAGCATTTAAGGTATCAAAATTCAATGTGCTGAATGCCTAAAACAGGTTAAGGTTTATGGTAAACTACTCTCATTAATTGTTAAAAAGAAATCACAACATTTATGTAATTTCATCAACATCCAAAACAGAACATATTGGAAGAGGGGAAATCATCATCATCACCATCATCACCACCATCATCATCATGGAAACCAACCTGTGTTCAGCTTCAAGTGAACTTGAGAGAACATCAGTTTGTGGGAAGGTGGAAGAACGAATGATCTGTTGGGATATCACTGAGGCATTGCCATTCTCTTGCGGAATATCACTTTCATCAAAGTTTCGGTTTATGTCCCTTTCTTGGTGAGTACTATTGCTGTTATGCAAATTAAATGAGTCGTCATCCTAATTTTTAGGAAGTTGAAAAAAAATTAGTCTGAAAATACAACTGTAAAAAACTTTGATCATTAAATTTCATCAATAATACAAAATGTAATGTTTTGAGTATTTTTTGCCCAAATATTTGAGTGATATTGCTAATGTGAAACTAATAATAGTTAATATATTTTACTTACCTTCTCTGAGCCAGGGTGGCTTTCATCTTCATGTTCCTCTTCTACTCTGTCCCTCTTCAATGCTTTCAAAAATTCACTTTTCTTATCAGTGCGCATACGGGTCAGTTTGGTTAGCCGAGGCTGCTGATTAAGTTTGTCAACAGGTGAAGAGGAATTTGAGCGATTACACTAAGAAAAGATTGAAGCACACTGATAAATTCGTAGGTAGAAAATGTCAGTACCAAATTGATATTACAACTTTTTTTTATCTTTATGCACTTTTCTCTATCCCTGTATGTTTTCCTCCCCCCCAATCCAGCCCTTTATTACCTTTCAATGATGACAAGTAGTCATTACAAAATGGGGTTATAGTGCTCCCAAGCTTTGGCCTGTAGTACTGCAAACATCACCCAATTTGTTGTGACCCAAGGATCTCAGTGTAACCACTCAGATTGTACTTAGGCTGAAGAGTAAAGCCAGGGACTTAACTAGGCATCACTAGTTTTATGCTTGCCAGGCAGGAGGTTTAAACTATTACTGGGCTTCCTAAAAAAGAATTATTGTATTCTAGAAATTAAGGTCTATTATTGTAAGAACTGGGACTGAAGCTAGTAGAGTGGGTAAGGCACTTCCTTGCACGCAGACAACCTAGGTTCAATCCCCAGAAACCCATATAATGGTTCGCCGAACCCACCAGGAGTGATTCCTGAGTGAAGAGGCAGGAGCTGAGCATCACAGGGTGTGACCCCTAAAGAGAACTATATTCTATATTCCAAATAACTATCATCATCACTGTCACCGTCATCCCATTTTTCATCTATTTATTCGAGCGGGCGCCAGTAACATTTCCACTCATTCCAACCCTGAGATTTTAGCAGCCTCTCCTAATGACGTATTGAAGGCTCTTTCAGGGTCAGGGAATTGAGACCCATTAATATTACTGTTTTTTGGCATATCAAATATGCCACGGGTAGCTTGCCAGGCTCTGCCGTGCAAATAACTATATTCCAAACCAAAGAACAGAGGAGAAAACAGACATGCGTTAGCACCCTTTTGTCTTGTTTCTGACCCATATCTGGCAATGTTCAGGGGACCACATAGGGCACCAACGATCGAACCCAGGTTGGCCATGTGCAAGGCAAACACCTTAGCACCCAAATTGTTGTACTATCTCTTCAACCCCACCCTTTGGCTTTTAAAGTAAAATACGATCGACAATAAAATGTTTGGGGCCAGAGAGATAGTACAGAGGGCAAGGTCTTGCACAGGGCTTCCACCCTATACGGTTCCCTGAACCCACCGGGAGTGATTTTTGAATGCAGAGCCAATAGCAAGCCCTGAGTAAAGCTGAGTGTGACCAAAAGGAAAAACTACAGAAGAAAATGTAAAAACTGCAACAGAATGTTTTAGGTATGAGAATATACCATAGTACTGTTGACAATAATGTTTGCAGATTGCGATCTCTAAATCACAACTGAGAATGCTGGCACAAGTCTAATATCCTACAGCTGATAACATTAAGAAAGAACAGGGTCAGATACTACCTGTTAAGGTGCTTTCCTTAAAAGCTGTCGCCCTGGGTTCAACTCAATGCATATGGTCCCTGAGCACCAACCACCAAGGAGTGACCTCTGAGTAGAGACGGGGTTAAGCCCTGAGCATGCTAGGTGTGGGTCAAAAGTCAAGAAAAACGTAAAAAAAAAAAAAGAAGAAGAAATAGTATATAAGGACTATGATGTCCCAATTAATTCAATGTCTACAACAACCAAATGTATAGCACATCAGATTAGGCTGACTTGGGTTAAATGCTAAGAGCACTTCTAGGAGTAATCCCTGAATAGAGGCAAGAGTAAGTCCTGAAGCACAGCCAGGTGTAGTCCAAAACCAACCAAACTAAAAACCATAATTTCACCATGAAGCAAATCCCTTGCTCTTGGAATTGTTAAAATCCTAAAATGTCCAACAACCACCAATCCCAACACCCACCATAGACTATTACAAATCCATTTAGCTATTCAAAGTTAATTACTATAGTATACTCTCACTATACTGTACTTTTCACAATTCTTAGTCATTCTTTCTAAGTGATAAATATATGGGTGGTTCTTTATATTTTCTCTACAGTTTTGGATGTTTAGAAATAGGCATTAAATTTTTTTACATAGTTCCTACTTAACTATCATGGGGCAGCTATATGCAGTACAGCACATGCCAAGTAGATGTGAGGACTTGGATTTGATCCAAGCATCGTTTTGCTCATTATTAATTACAATGATTAATTTATGTTGACTTGTGGATAATTTTAATATCATACCTCTTTTACTGAAGTTGTTGATGGACTAAAATTCTTGGCAGTTGATTTAAAAGCATTAAAGTTGCCAACACTGTATGTAGACTCATGAGGAAAAGAACTCCCAACTTTATTTTCTTTAGTTTGGCTTTTCCATTGTGTAGGCTAAAGAAAAACACAAATATTAAAGGTTAACTAAAAGATCAGATTACTTAGGAAAAATAAATGAACTCTGAAACAAAGAGGGCACATGTAGTAAGAACAATGTTTTCCTGTATTTCTTCTTAATCATTCCTTCACGGTTCCTTTCCATCTTTTTCTACAAATAATAACAAAGCTTGATATTCAGAGTAAAAGAATCTTAATACACACATTGTTTTATTTTTCAACTTTATAAAATTTGAGATTTATAAAGCTGAAAAATAATGCAGTGTATTCAGATTCAGTCTAAATTCAGTAGATAAACTTTTCTAATACCGAGAAAAGTGAGTTTTAAAAACCTAAAAGTGCACACCAAGAAACAGCATTTTATATTATGTAATTATGCAAAAATATCAAGGTACCCAGCAAAAGATTATGAATCATTCACTACTACAAAAACAAGAAAAAATATAGCACTTAAAAGTCAATTAAGATACATGACACACAAAGAACCTTTACTTTCGACTTAGAAGTCAGCAGTCCACAAAATATTAGTTTAAAACCTTTTACAACCTTTTCCCAAAGTAACTTTTAAACTAAAACCTTTTTCCATTTTTAATAAGTTAGGACTTACTTTTGTAGGTGGAGCAGCTGGTTTAGGGACTAATCCTTTATAAACACTTGGACCAGTCCCATTCTTAACTGGCTGTGACTGAAGATTTCCTACAACTGGGAATCCAGAGAGCTGTAAGTCTTTTGTATTACCTTTCTTAATAACCAGCATCCTTGGGGTTCTAGATTTAGGATTCGGAGGGTATTCTGCATAAATAAAGCACGAGCAAAAGTTACACACAGCTTCAAATTTTAGCATAAACTAAAACCACCCAAAGAATAATGTATTTCAAACATCAATTATATTTGAAACAGCTATCCTTGGTAAAATAATTAAAGTATGAACTGTATTCCAAATTTAGAAAGCTAATACATAAATCCAAAATTACAATTAAGCAACATCAAATAATACTGACAAATAAAGCTAGACAGTGGCCTAGAAAGTTAACTATAACCTAACCAAGATTAACTGCATTTCAACATGTTTCATTACTTATCTATTTACCTTGGGTCCTGGGGCAACTTCCAGCATTGCTCAGGGACTACACCCAGCTCTGTACTCTCAAGGATTGCTAAAGGTTCGAGGGAACATGCAGTGACAGGAATCACAAAAGTCTCCTACATACAAAGTATACATCTGGCCTACTGAATGCTCATCTCGCTATCCCTTTTTAGTTCTGCCATTCAGTCTGTGGTGCTAAGGGAACCAAGTAGTGTCAAGGACTAAACCTGGGGCTCCCGTGTACAAAGTATGCACTCCAACCTTTGAGATATTTATCTTGGTCCTGTTTCACTGATTTTTTTTAGTTGAAAATCTATTCTTAAAACTGCTTAGAATGGGACATAAAGAGAGGGAAAACAAATGCCTAATAGAAATGAAGCGCATGAAAACTGGTCCTCATTAATAAGTGTGCCTGGCCGATATGCAGGGGATATAGAACAGGATGGGGGGGGGGGGGGTGTCACACTAGACAATGGCAGAAGAAAGTAAAGGGAACTCTCTTGAGGAGACAGTGTTCCAAGGCAGTCAAGTGGTATGCATGAAAGCCAATAGGAACAGTATTGTAAAACCACAGGGTCTTGAAGGCAACAATAACAACAAAAGGTACTGCCATAGAGAGCAGGTTGATGAATAGATGGAAAACTGGGATCATTAGTGGAGGAATGTGGGCACAGGTGAAAGGACTGGTGTCGGAACACTCTATGCCTGAAACTCAAGCATGAGTAATTTTGTAAATCAGTGTCTCAATTTAAAAAAAAAGCTTAGAATATAAATTGTATATTTCCATAGATTTATTAATTTCAAAAGGAAAATTTTAATTTTTACTAGAACAAGAACCTTCAAATGCCATCAGATATTATTAAAATATCTGATGACAATATAAAAATACATTCAATCCCCTGTGCCAAAGATAAAGAAGAACAATCAACTCAACACTGGTCTTAGGAAACAATCACTAACTTAAACTTTAACTACTGAGGTGGTAAAGTATGAACTCCTAACGTTGCATTTTAGGCACAATTTTCTGGTGAGGGATCTTTCCCTTAGAAAAGTCTTTGTGGGGGCTGGAGAGATAGTAGAGGGTAGGACAATTGCCTCACACACAGTTGACCTGGGTTTGATTCCCATATAGTCCCCTGCCTATTAGCAGTAACCCCTGAACATCACAATGTGTGCAACCCTACCAAAAAAGAAAGCTTCAAAATTTAGCAAAAGTAAATGACATCAACAAACCACTCTTAAAAACAAAAAACAACAAAAAGCAACAAAAAAAATACCTTGAGACTACGAAGCATAGAGGTGGGGAAATTGTTCAAATGGTAAAGTACGCCTTACAAGGAAGGTCCTGAGTTTGATGGCTAGCACCCACTACTTCTACCACCCCTTTAGTATCCCACACAATAGTAAAAACAAGCTTTCAAAAGAATACCAGGAATAAAAAATACCAGAAACAAACAGTTAAGTTTTGCAATTACTACTTTTGCAAACAGATGACAGATTAAAAGAATTCTTGAAATTAGCAATTTTTTTTTCTTTTTAGGTCACACCCAGCTGATGCTCAGGGGTTACTCCTGGCTCTGCACTCAGAAATCACTCATGGGATGCTGGGAATCGAACCCACAGCCGCATGCAAGGCAAATGCCCTACCAGCTGTGCTATTGCTCCAGACCCGAAATTAGAAATTCTTAAAATGAAATGAAGTCTTAAAAGTCTTAATGAAGTTACTCAAGGGCAAAGGGTATGTAAGTTTGATCCCCAGCACCACTGTAATTCAAGAATTTGAACACTATCTGGTACTGGAAAATATAAAAAATACTAAGACTTCTGCAAGATTCTTTCTCAAACACATCTGTGTAGAGAAGTAAGGACGATTCTATCAAAACAGCACAGTTAACAAAATTCAAACATGACTAGTGATGACCTGAAGTTATCACCAGTTCAGCACTTAGGGGAGGAGATCAATAGGGAAGGAGATCAAACACATCAGTAAGAAACAGAAGGGTCATCAGCAAGCAATAATCTTACATATTTCTGGAGAACTAAAGAACAAGTTAAAAGAGTGTGAAGACTTAGGTTGTACATCTTTAAACCTCAATGTACTCCCAACACTACAAAGATCACTTTTCCTAAAAATAGATTCCTTCACAACTTGGAGGAGCAAGATACATTCTACTTTCTTAAATGATAATATCAATGCAAAGAATAATAAATATCCTATATCTTTATATAGAAAACCTCAAAAGAGCAGGTAGCAAAGTAAAAGATGATGAAGGAAGTCAGTGACTGAAAGGGAAAAGAAATTGATACAATGCTAATGAATTTAAGAAAGTATATTCAAATACACTGGTAAAATTAAAAACAACATTTGTTTTTAGACCTGATCTATGCTTTGGATACTGGCATCAACTTTACTAATCAATCTTCAACAAAATAATTCAGTTACTGAGAAATGTTTTCCTTCAAACTTACTGGAATCAATATAGAAGCTATAACTACCTCAACTATCAACAATTTAAGTTCAAAACATCTTAACACTTAAGATTTGAGTTTTCTAATAATTTCCCTCTATCCTTACAAACTATAGTCTAATAATAGTTAACTTTAAATATCTCTTGAGTGAGGGATGTGACTCAGTGGTGGAATGCATGTTCTGCATATCTGAGGTCTGAGGTTCAATCCCCATTACAGAAACAAACAAAAAAACCAATAAAAACAAAGAAAATTATCACCTCTTCATCTTATTATCACGCAACATGTCATTTCTTAACAACAAAGTCAATAGTGGAAAGTGAATGCCTAATTCTTTAATTAAAAGAATTTAAATGACATAATACAAAATAAACTACATAACTCACAGCTACCACTGATTTTCTCACTCTAAAAATTTTTGTCTTTCACAACACTCTACATATGTACCTAACTCTTCTGATTCAGTCAATTTACTCTTTGATCCACTTATAAGCTCCTTCTTTCACCCCACTTTGGACCTTCCCAACAATGTTTGGGACCTGGCTATGAGTGCTAATAGTTTTGGTGTTCTGGGCCAGTGAAGTGATTGGTGTTTGCTGGGCTAGTGGGCTGGGGCTACCAAGAACACATCATGTTGTGCGCACGCGCGCGTGTCTGTGTGTTGGGGGAGGGGGGGGAAGAGAGGGAGGGCAGTAGCGGCAGGTCATTCGTAGCTCAGGAACTGAAATACTGTCAAGGCATGAACTCAAGTCCTCCAGTCCTTTGAGCTATCTACCAACCCTTGGTTCACCTTTTAATAAATCTACTAGAATATAACTAACAAGATTTAAAATAATCTAACATATATTAAACACCATTAACATGGATTTTATATAGATAGAATCTGAATCATGGTACTTAGAATTTCTACTGTGAACACTAATTTTATTGGTACAAAAATGCCTAAAACTGTTTTTTTCATGACATATGAATTTTGGGGGGGTTGGTTTTTATTTAATGCATATAACTTTCATGTTGTGTAGTAGTTTGAGAGGTTTATTTGGGAGGGGATTGTTGAAGAATGGGGAGAAGGAATCACACAAGCAGTGCTCAGGAAGGCTACTCATAGTGTGGTACAGCAGAGGAGTATGATGTGCTGTCAGGGATTAGACCCGGGCAACTGACACATCTATAGAAAAGAATGCACCTTTAGCCACTAGCTAGGCCAATTTGCTTTGATTCAGAAGTCAAAAAAAATTGTGTATAACGTACATATGTGTAGGATAGGAGACATCAGGGATCAAACCTAGATCTCTCATGCATGCAAGGAACATACTGTGCCACTGTGTCACATCCGTGAGCCTAAAAGAAGAATTCTTAAAACTCAACCTGCATGTTGATAATAAATATAAATTCCCCACTCCCCCCAAAAAAACCCTGAAGAAAGTTTATCAAATTAACAAACAAGAAAAGATATAAATAAAAATGCAAAGTTGAAGGAATAGTTACACTGCTAATGCCTGTGAGCTTACTTATATTTAGTATTTTAAACTCTAAATCTGCCAATAATTTATTACTATCACATCTCTCACTCAAGTCAATGTTCCAAATGCTCACTCCATATAACTATACTAACTTTAACTCTGAGGCACATGAATTCTTGTTAATTTTAAATTATTAATAACCTGAAAGTAGTAGGAATATTTACCTTATACACTAAACAAGTCACAAATGAGCTACATGAAGTTTTAACAACTAAAGAAAAAGTTTAAGTAGACTTAAACTATATTTTAAATAGCTTTCCTCAAGGCAGTTTCTTAAATGGGATACTGTGCTTAAACTCTTGATCTATAAATAAAAGGTAGTTTCAGAAATAAAACTGGGTTTTGCTTTAATTTTTTTTAAATGCACATTACACATTTCCATTGTTAAATTCTGACTTACCTGGAAAGAAGTAGCATTAGAAAAGTTCTACTGAAGTCTTTCCTAATATTCACTCATATCTTCCTCAGGAACATAGCTATTATTAATATTTTCAGACCGTATTTGGGAACCCAGGGGTAAAGTGAAAAGGAGTAGCGAAGTGTAACACAATGAAAGTTTAACTGTATTTCTATGGGAAGTACTGGGAATTTAACAATCAAGTCACAATTAATCATTTTTCTTTTTCTATGCATACACATTAGCTCACCTAAGAAACAATAAAGAGTATCAAATAATCTTCCTTTTAAACATCTTTTCAACTATTGCTCAAAAATCTTAAACCAACCTGAAACAGTAGAACCAAAATCTTTATATTAGTACATTTTGTTCTCATTTTCAAAATGTCTTTGCCCTTAAGTCATTTATAAAATTGTTAAATTAACCAAGGATCAGAACCAACACTATCTATAGGAAGTTTTATTTGACAAATGCTTACTGACATTCTTGAATTTTTAATTACTTTCATTCTAATCAAATTCAAACTACTCCTAATTTCTTAGACTTCTATTTAACACCTTTCAGGTGGTTCTATATTATTATGCAATCAGCTGTTCCCAGAAAAACTGAATAATAAGGAAACATACCTAAGAGAGGAGCTTGGGAGATTTTTTTGGTTGGGTATGTGTGTGTCTGGGCGTGTAGGCCTGGGGAGAGTGGTAGAAATACTAATTTGCAATACAGAAAAAACAATGCCATTCACATGGTTCTAACAAAAATGTTTGACCAACCCCCACCCCCACCCTCAAAAAGCCCTTAAATAAATCGGGAGAACAAAAGAAAACAAATTCCCCAGAATATTACCCCATAAATACAATAAAGAACAGCATAGGAAGTGGCAAAGTTTAAAATAATGCCTTTTATGTTAGGACTGGAATGCTGTCATAAGCCACAATCCTTTTGTTTTACATTGTTGATTTACAGTAGAAAAAAAACACAAACATGTAAAGTTCCATGGTTGACTCAGCACCTTTGAATTTGGCAGCAAATAAATTTGGTTTTCAATTATCAATTTTTTTTCCATTATTTTAAACTTCACTTGAATCTTTAAAAAGCCAGCTGGTTTCTACTATGAGTGCAGTTTAATCTTCTATAAATCAACTTAAATTCAGCAGTTTTAAAGAAAAGGGACTTATTACCAGATAAACTGTCATTAAGATTTAACAACCAATAAGGAAAATAATTTCAAATTATCAATTAGTTCCATAGGCAAATTTATACAATTATTTTTATTACTCTGTATAACCATTTTCATATGTAAAAAAAGATTTTTTTGACTCACTATATTAGAAGTACTAATTTTTCTCGTTTACTAAGTTTTCAACTTTGAAAAACTAAAATTTAACTGAACTCTTTTGTCTATTTTAATTATCAGGCTGCTTCCAGATGAGATCAATTGACTGCATCAACTTAGAATTATTTTCTGAAATTTCTATATGCATATTCTTCATGGTACTAACATGTGCAAATCAACTATTTCAAATCCAATGCTTCTCTACCACCTATAAACTTTTTTTTTTTAAAAAAAGGTGCATCTTTAATCGCAGCTTAACAACCCAAAACAGGTATTTAAGGAGAAAATACAGTACTAGACTACTAATTTTTAAAAGTAAAATCTGTAACATTTATACCCCTTAAAGGCAGATCAAAAATTACTTACCCCATACACCGGCAGCTAAAGATTTATTCTGATTTGGTTCTCTCTCATATTCAGGATTTAAAGATGGCTAGAAGAAAATTGTAACAGAAAGCATGAAACAAATGTCTAAAATGTTTATTTTTAAAATAAATCTTTCAAAAAAACCTAAAACTATACTAAACTATGATATAAACATAACTAGTAAAAACTGACTTGTTTTAAAAGCATTAACTTTTAGTTTATTCTAACCATTAAAACAATTACCACCCTAGAAAAAATTACCACCTACCTTGGTATAACTACAAAAGTATAAATATTAAGATTATGGTAACCATGTTATCTCAATAAATTAAATTTTTTAAAGAAAAGTCATCAACTACAAAAGTTTCTGACTTTAAATATTCACCTCTCCTCTATTATCTGAGGAAAAGGTATGGGATTTTTAAAAAATGGGGGGGGGGGGGGGGGCTGGAGCAATAGCACAGAGGGTAGGGCAGTTGCCTTGCACACAGCCGACCCGGGTTCGATTCCCTGCATCCCATATGGTCCCAGGAGTAATTTCTGAGCGCAGAGCCAGGAGTAACCCCTGTGCATCGCCGGGTTTGACACCCCGCCCCAAAAAGAAGGAGAAAGAAAACCCCACACAGAGCAAGCTCAAAGAATGACTTATGCATCATTTTTGGAAAATCATTCATTTCTAGCCTGAGGTTGAGAGCAAGAAAATAAGATTTTCCTACCTCCTTTAGTTGACTTCTTAAAAGTTCAAAATCTTATTTCAGCAAATGATGCTCAAAGTATTTTAAAGAAAACTTCAGTTTTATGTTCACTGTGTATTCTCTTCAGTGATCCTAGAGTTAATAAGTTCTGATAACCCACGACCATCAGAACAGCCGATGGTAGTGGCTCGGGCTGGAGCGACAGCACAGCTGGTAGGGCATTTGCCTTGCACACGGCCAACCCAGTTTGATTCCTACATCCCCCTCGGAGAGCCCAGCAAGCTACCGAAAGTATCCTGCCCACGCGGCAGAGCCTGGCAAGCTCCCTGTGGCGTATTAGATGTGCTAAAAACAGTAACAACAAGTCTCACAATGGAGACGTTACTGATGCCCGCTCAAGCAAATCGATGAACAAGAGGACAGTGCGACAGTGCTATAGACAGTATATTTTCAAGCTGAAGTAGGTATGTTTGTTTCCAAAGATCTTAAATTTCTAGTCATTATAGCATGTACTTCCCTATTAGCAATACTGCCTGATTTTACTTATTACATATTGAATGAAATGAGTCCTGATGTGTTTTTAATTTCCAAAAAAGTGACTTAGTACTTGCTCTAAAGTCCAAAAAGGGGTACATGAATACTTTTTATTATTCCCTGATATAAAATAAAAAGGGTTAGGAAGATTCTGGTGTACATTCTACATGCCACTTCAAAAACTCAGTACTAGAAATACATTATAAAGCTTATACTCCATACCTCTAAATGGAACAGCTTATACCACGATCTGTGAAGTAGCAGTCGGTCCTAATAGTGGCAACAACTAAATTTTATGGACTGCTTATCGTGTCAGACGCTATTTCTAATGATATACATTACATTATTTATTATATTATATATGTATATTACATTATTGATACATATTAATATTATTTTAATTCTCAAAATACTGTGAAAGCATACTAGTATCATTCTTCTTTGTATTATAAAAATTCCAGGGACTTTCACTTAATTGTCAGTGCAAAAGCAGACTGGTCCAGTCTTTCTGAAAAAATATAGGCATTTCTCAAGTGAGCAAAAGGGAACGTCCTGCCACAGAGGCGGGGTGGGGTAGGGGGGGATGGGGTGTGGGGGTGGGAGGGCTACTAGGATCATTGGTGGTGGAGAATGGGCTCTGGTGGAGGGATGGGTACTCGATCATTGTATAACTGAAACCCAAGCACAAAAGTTTCTAAGTCTACAACTGTACCTCATGGTTTTCACTAATAAAAGAAAAAATATATATATAAATATATATATATATATAGGCATTTCTCCAAAAACTAGAAATTGAGCTCTCATAATGACCCAGCAATACCACTTCAAGGAAAATATCCCGGGGATGCAAAAATGCACAGTAGAAATAACATCTGCACTTGTATGTTTATTGCAGCACTATTCACAACAGCCAGAACCTGGAAACAATCTGAATGAGACTGTTTAAAAAAAAATTTTGGTACATCTACACAATGGAATACTAAGCAGCTATTAGGAAAAAATGAAGTCATGAAATTTGCTTTTAAGTAGATGGACATGGAGAGTATCGTGCTAAGTGCAGTTAGTCAGAAAGAGGACAGACAGAGAATGACTGCACTCATTTGTGGAACATAAAATAAGATGAGACTAACACCCAAGGACAGTAGAGACAAGGGCCAGGAGGATTGCTCCACGGTTTGGAAGCCTGCCTCATGTGCTAGGGGAAAAGGCAGTTGGGATAGAGAAGGGACCTCTAAGTCAATGACAGTTGGAGGGATCCCTCAGGATGGGAGATCTGTGCTGAAAGTAGACCAGGATCAAATATAATGGCCTCTCAGTATCTGTATTGCAAACCATAATGCCCAAAGACGGAGAGTAAAAAGGAAGGTGCCTGCCACAGAGGCAGGGGGTAGGATGGGTGGGGGTGGCGAAAGGGATACTGGGAACATTGGTGGTGGAGAACGTGCACTGGTGGAAGGATGGGTGTGCGATCATTGTATGACTGACACTCAATAACGAAAGCTTTATAAGTAAGTGTATCTCATGGTGATTTAATTAAAATAATTATTTTAAAAAATTCCATTTTCAGACAAAGAGCAAGAAAAAAATTGACCACTGAAATGTCAAGGGATGGTGAATCCAAGGTTACTCTACATTAGCACTGTAGCACTGTCGCACTGTCCTCTTGTTGTTCATCCATTTGCTCGAGCGGGCACCAGTAACATCTCCATTGTGAGTGAGACAGTGTTACTGTTTTTGGCATGTCGAGTACGCCACAGGGAGCTTGCCAGGCTCTGCCATGTGGGTGGGATATTCTCAGTAGCTTGCTGGGCTCTTCAAGAGGGACAGAGAAATCAAACCCCGGTCGGCCGCATAAAAGGCAAACACCCTACCCTCTGTGCTATTACAGAAGGAATAACGTCACATTTTCTTTTACACCACCTCCCTAATTATACTAAATTCATTTATACCCTCCATCCAAGCAACTACTAAACCATGTCCAAGTGATTTATGTTTATTTATCACAACTACTCAGTTCAGGCCATCATTTCCTCCAATTCTTGCTTCTGAACTAGTCTCCTTGATCTCATTTTAACGCAATCAAGATCTAGCAACAAGAATTAGTCTTTTTTTAATTTAAAAATTGTTTTTCTTAATTTTTATTGAATCACTGTAAGATACAAGAATTAGTCTTAATTTAAAAAGCAAAAAAGCAAACAGGTCAGGGCTAGAGCGATAGCACAGCGGATAGGGCATTTGCCTTGCACGCGGCCAACCCGGGTTCGATTCCCAGCGTCCCATATGGTCCCCTGAGAACTGCCAGGAGTAACTCCTGAGTGCAGAGCCAGGAGTAACCCCTGAGCATCGCCGGGTATGACCCAAAAAGGAAAAACAAAACAAAACAAAAAAGCAGGTCACCCAACTTCCCTCCAGTTTCCCAATGAATTTGGAATTAAAAATTTCTAACAACCTGGAAATGTTCTACTCACTAAAACCCTTAACCTTGAGTGAAGTGGGCAGGGCACTTGCCTTACAGATCAGATCCCCCAGGAACCCTAAACAGACCCCAGAGTAATACCAGGAGTAAGGTGTGCTGCCCCTGCCAAAAGTCATGACAAAATGTGTCTCTAATATTGGGCCTTGGCACTAGTTTTCCCTTTCTTTCTCTCAATATTAACAAAGCTCGCTGCTTCTCGAGTAGATTGCATATTAAATGTGACTTCACTAGAGAAACTCCACCTCTGAAGCCTTTGTAAGTCACTCATTTTGTATCTAAAGTAATGTAAAACTACTAAATACTTAAATTGTTCTAAATGTGCCCCGCCCCCCCTTATACTAAAAACAGCTGGAGAGATAGTACAGGCAATAAAGTGCTTGTGCCTTGCACATGTGTGGCACTCATTCAATCTCCAGTACCACATATGGTCCCCCTCCAAACACTTTCAAGAGTAATCCTTGAGCACAGAGCCAAGGGCACTACTGCTATCTTCCCTTACCACTAAGAAACATCTGGATATTCAGATAAAAAAAATAAGGCACTATCATGGGATTAGCTTATTTTAAATAAACATTCTAATATACACTGGTAAAGACTCCTTCCAAAAACTTATGACTTTTCAGATACTATGGTGTAGTCACAATAAACACTACATTCAATCATTATTTTATAGGGAAATGTTTTAAATTTTAAGTAAAACTTAAGTGTGTCCTAAGTCTTAGAAGATATAGCAATAAACAGCAATAATAAGATATAGCAATGAACAGAGAGAAAGAAGTAGACAGAAGGAGTGTTAATGTAAAAAAGCACTCATGGAAAACAAGGATTAAAAATAACTGGACCTATTAATTGTGAACCATGTATAAAATGAACTGTACTTAGTAAAATCTCATGAGATCTTTGATGCTAAAATGGCACATACAGAAACCTTGTTTGTACTAGAAATATGCGGGAGGGAGGGGGAAGAACCCCACAAATTTTTTAAAAAATAAATAAAAATAACTACTACTACTACTACTTACAAAATCCTCAGCCTCGAACTGTTTGCGTTCTCTCTTATCATCTTTCCTCCCTGTTTCATTGTCAGGTATGCTGTTTTCATGTAGTCCTTGGCTTTTTCCAGGATGGAAAATACTGCTACGAGAACGGGAACTTCCACCATGGTATCCCCCTCGATGATTTATGTTTTCTGTACCATTTCTTCCATGTGTACGCCATCCATTTTTTTCTTTCCTTCCAAAATTACCTTTATTTGATAAATGGTAAAGTGTTATAAATTCAAAAAGATGGCTGTTACAGATTCAACCATAAAACATTCCTCGGGGTGGCAGAGGACCCTCCTAAGGGGTTCTTAGCAATTCCAGTGATTCTTGGCCAACCAACGCTGAGAATTCAATGTGTAGGCTTTAAGATGCAGTGCTGCTATGGAGTTGAGCACACCTTCTCTGAAAACCCCAACACCCTCCCACTCATACATGGATGGAGAGAGACATGGACACATGGTGCTATGGATCAAACCAGGGCCAGAAACATACAAAACATGGATCCTAACCCCTGTACTATTATCTGTCACCCACAATCAAAGCATTTAAGAACTCTTATTCCTTAGCCAACTGTACCTCCATTAGGACGTCCAATACCAGAATCAAAGCCATCTGAAGAGTTGTGTCGTCGACGGTTCACATCGTAACGATTTTCTGTCCATGAAAAATTTTCAGAATGCTTCTCAAAATTCAATGACGACTGAAACAAATTGTAAGCATGCAGGTAAGCGAACAAAATCTAAATATGATTTCAAAATAAGATAATTTGATACTATACTTAGAGAAACCTAAAACCGCTACCAAGAAACTCCTAGAAACAATAGGCTTGTATAGTAAAGTGGCAGGCTATAAAATCAATACCCAAAAATCCATGGCTTTCCTATACGCAAATAGTGAAAGAGAAGAAAGTGACATAAAGAAAACAATCCCATTCACAATTGTGCCCCAGAAAATCAAGTACCTGGGAATCAGCTTAACTAAGGAAGTAAAGGACCTGTACAAAGAAAACTACAAAACATTACTTCAGGAAATAAAAGAGGACACGAGGAAATGGAAAAATATCCCCGGCTCATGGAAGGGGAGAATCAACATTGTCAAAATGGCAATACTTCCCAAAGCAATGTACAAATTCAATGCGATCCCTATAAGGATGCCCATGACATTCTTCACAGAAATGGAGCAAACACTCCTGAAATTTATATGGAACAATAAGCCCCCACGAATAGCTAAAGCAATTCTTTGGAAAAAGAAAATGGGAGGAATCAACCTCCCCAACTTCAAACTCTACTACAAAGCGGTAATAATCAAAACAGCATGGTACTGGAACAAAGGCAGAGTTGCATACAAATGGAACAGAGTTGAATATACTGACATCTCCTCCCAAGCATATGATCATCTAATCTTCGATAAGGGAGCAAGATAAGTGAAATGGAGCAGGAAAAGCCTCTTTAATAAATTGTGCTGGCAAAACTGGACGGCTACATGCAAAAAACTGGGCTCAGATCTCTGCCTAACTCCATGCACAAAAGTAAGATCAAAATGGATTAAAGACCTCAACATCAGACCAGAAACCATAAGGTACATTGAAAACAAAGTTGGCAAAACCCTCCATGACATTGAAGCTAATGGTATCTTCAAAGATGTCACACCACTGGCCAAGCAAGTGAAAACAGAGATAGACAAATGGGACTATCTTAAACTAAGAAGCTTCTGCACTTCAAAAGAAACAGTGACCAAAATACAAAGACAGTCTACAGAATGGGAAAGGATATTTGCCAAATACACATTTGACAAGGGGTTGATATCAAGGATATACAAGGTACTGGTTGAACTGCACAAGAAGAAATCACCCAACCCCATCAAAAAATGGGGCAAGGAAATGAACGGAAACTTTCGCAAAGAAGAAATCCAAATGGCTAAAAGGCACATGAGAAAATGCTCTACATCACTAATCATCAGAGAGATGCAGATCAAAACAACGAGATATCATTTCAAACCACAGAGACTGGCCCACATCCACAAGAACAAAAGCAACCAGTGCTGGCGCGGATGTGGCGAGAAAGGGACCCTCCTTCACTGCTGGTGGGAATGCCGACTGGTCCAACCCTTTTGGAAAACAGTATGGACAATTCTCAAAAAATTAGAATTTGATCTCCCATTTGACCCAGCAATACCACTCCTGGGGATATATCCCAGAGAGGCAAAAAAAGTATAGTCGAAGTGACATCTGCACTTCTTTGTTCATTGCAGCACTCTTTACAATAGCCAGAATCTGGAAAAAAACCTGAGTGCCTGAGAACAGATGACTGGTTAAAGAAACTTTGGTACATTTACACAATGGAGTACTGTGTAGCTGTTAGAAAAGATGAAGTCATGAAATTTACATACAAGTGGTACTACATGGAAAGTATCATGTTAAGCGAAATGAGTCAGAAAGAGCGGGATAGACACAGAAAGATTGCATTCATCTGGGGAACATAAAGCAACAAAATGGGAGACCCAGGAGTGGCCAAGATTAGTACCAGGAATTTTGCTCCATGACTTGGAGGCCAGCCACACGTGCTAGGGGAAATGGAAGCTCAGATAGAGAAGAGAGCACCAAATAAAGGGGGTTGTGAGGATCGTCCCAGGGTGGGAGAAGCATGCTGAAAGTAGAGTATAGACCAAACATGATTGCCACTCAATGCCTCTCTTGCAAACCACAGGACTCAAAAGAAGAGAGAGAACAAAAGAGAATGCCCTGCCACAGAGGCAGGGTGGGATGGGGGGAACGGGGGTGGGAGGGATGCTGGGACCCATGGTGGTGGAGGATGGGCACTGGTGGAGGGATGGGTACTTGATCATTGTATAACTGAAACCCAAGCACAAAAATTTGTAAGTCTATAATAACTGTACCTCATGGTGTTTCACTAATAAAATTTAGAAAAAAAAGAATCTGACTTCTTTCCAGAAATGTTAAGTAGTTATTATTTTTAATGTGTTGAGTAACCATACAAGATGGATTCCATTGTTGGTCTATTTTCTCTAATGCAAGAGTAGAAACAACTCAACAATTACATCCGCTTACCTCCAAAACTTTAAAAATGGGTGCCAAAATGATAGTACAGTACACGTAGGGTGCCTGCCTTGCACATGGCTGACCCAGGTTCAATCACCTGCACCCCAATCCCACCAAAAGTTGATTTCTGAGCACAGAGTTAGGATTATGCCCTAAGCATAACTGGGTGTGGCCCCAAAATAAAAACACTTTAAAGGTAAAATGCCCTTGCAAATAAACAAGGTAAGCATGAGTATTTCTCATAAGAAAATTACTCAATTGAAAAGCACTGGGCAAAGACATGGAGGTACAAAACAGTGGCAATAAAGGCCCATACCTAGGTATTTACTGGAGTCAAGAAGTATCAATGGGAGAAGACAACATTGTCTCCCCCAACCTCCACTCAAGTTGAGAAGTAGAAAAGAAACACAGGGGTCAGAAGATGACAGTAATGAGGGGCACAGAGGAACAGGAACCCACATTTGAACTCCAGTACCAGTGACACACAACCCCACCCCCACCACTACCTACTAAGTGTATGACTGACAGTCTCCTGAGCATTTCATGAAATCATCAAGCTGCCCAATCCCCCCCATTCACCTGCCAAAGGAAGAAAAAAAAAAAAAAACCAAAAACCTCCAATCCACCAATGCAATCCCTGAAGAAAAGTCCTCCCACTTTACCCATATTCCCAGCTAAAGAAATCATGTCATCTTCTGAAAGCATAGTTTGTAGTCCTAATATGCAGGTACCAAATTCCTTGGTACCACAGAGATAAAAATATACCCCAATTTGATGAATAAAAAGCACCACAGCTTCCTTGGGTCTTTGCTATAAACCTTTGGCCAAGTATCCATAGTGACATCCTGAGCACTGCTTATAAGGCTTAAGGGGAAAAAGTAATTTTTAAAAGACATTAATGGGGAGACTAAAGTGCATGTTTTCCATGCTTGGAACCCTGGATTCCAATTCCTGGTACATGATCCTCTCTGCTTTACCTACTCCTGGGCTGGAGAAGCATCTAAGAATCTCCAGATGTTGTTCAAAAAACCAAAATCATTAATAATTTTTTTAAGGGTGGTTGTGCTCTTGCCCTATTGCTGAGATCTTACTGAAACCATACAACTGAAGTAAGAACTACCCCTGCTATTACCACTGAAAAGAACAAGGTATGGGGGGCTGGAGCGAAAGCACAGTGGGTAGAGTGTTTGCCTTGCATGCAGCCAACCCGGGTTCTATTCCTAGCATCCCATGTGGTCGCCCAACCACTGCCAGGAGTAATTCCTGAGTGCATGAGCCAGGAGTAACCCCTGTGCATCACCGGGTATAATCCAAAAAGCTAAATAAATAAATAAATAAATAAATATTTTTTAGAAAAAAAAAAAACAAGGTATGAAACTGGGGGAAGAGAGAAGATAAAGCAACACCAGTGCTTACTGATCAGATACAGCATTCAAGGAACAAATATTCAAGGGATGCAGCTGGAGTGATCCTCAGGACATTCTAATTTTGTATGAAAAAGTGGCAAAGACACCTTTAAACCTTATTTTCCTGGACAAGGCCGCCTGTAATAGGCTCCAACCAAATCAACAGGGCTTTCAAATCACAAAAATTTCCCAACTGTATTTCCACTGAATAACTGTCACCGATTTCATTAAAAAAAAAAAGGCAAAAAATTTAAGTGTTATCATTATATAATGCTTTTTATAAAAGTTACAAAACAGGAGTTGGAGAGAGTTTAGCAGGAAGGGTACTTGCTTTGTATGCTCCAGGCCCAGGTTTGATTCCTAGAGTCTCTTATGATCCCCAAGCACTGCCAGGAATAATTCTTGCATGCAGAGCTGGGGTAACACTGAGCATTGCCAGATGAGGTCCCAAAAAAACAAAGTTACAAATCAATTTTTGGACTTTAAAATAAGGTACTATAATTATTCAGCGAAATACAGTAAGCATCTGACCTGGTTTACTGTTTATAGCATTCTAAAAGATGAAAAATCAACTGGGTGGCAGCAGCCATCTAAAACCAAAAGTGAACACTAACTGGGTGCCGGTACCATAAGCTAAAAAAAAAAAAAAAAAAAAGCTGTGACCCTTGTCTAAGGAAAAAGTATTCTTACAGATTTACTGGCTATGGCCAGTAGTCACCTAAAAAAAAAATAGCAAATTAAAAACACTTATTTGAGATTATGAACAAGAAAAGAGCAGCTGTTGGCGAGATTGATCTGAGTCACTCATGTAGGTATAAGGCTGTCAGATGAAAGCTGGTATCAAGAATAGTATCACAGGCATCCAAGAATGACTGCAATTAAGGTGTCGATTAAGTCTGTGGAGGCTATTTGGCTTCATCATTACACTTCCACTATCAAAGCCTGGGGTGGGGGTGGGGGGAGCTTTATCCATCAGATAAAAAAATCCACCACTGCCTGCAAACCTGTGACTATTTGCCAAACCACTGCTCACATTACACAAAGGGAACGATATCAAACCACTGATTATTCTTAGAACTAAGTTGATACAGCTAACTCTGGTCATAGTTCTGTGACCCTTAAAACTAATCCATTTGCTAGGCTGTTTCATTTGGAACAACCTGGAGCAGGGACAGGTGAGGCCTCTCCCTGCCGTAACAGAGCAAACCCCAGCAGTCAAAAATCTCCAGAACTCAA